TAGATGGAGGAATCAAACAAGGGCAAGAAAACAGGCTCGCGTGTCCCACGGCGCCTCTCCCAGGGAGCGCGGCACAGGCGATGGAGGCCTGGCTTTTGACTACCACTCCCCAGGACTCCGCACCAGAAACTGTGAGAATGGGGTAATGCGTGAAGTCACTTTGCCTCTCTCTGGATTAGGTGAAACAGAAAATGCGGACAAGTGAGCTCCCTGTGTTCATTTCCTTGAGACAGAGTCTCCCTGTGTAGTCCAGGCTGGCCTTGAATTTGTGGCGATCCTCCTGCCTCAGCCTCTGAGTGCTGGGATGATAGGTGTTCACCAGCAGCTGTTATTATTATTATTATTATTATTATTATTATTGTTTTAGCATCATCAGTGTCCAGAGAGGAGGCCAGGCCAGGGGTGTGCTGGTGTGTCTCAAATCCGTCCCTTTCACCACCAGCCCCCACCCTCACTGTTCAAGCCCTCTACAGTCCCCGCCCAGATTTCTGCCCTGCCTGTGGCTTCCCTTCTGTGTGTTCTCATGATCAGAGAAATCACATGCAAACACAAATTTGATTAGGCTACCTCCTCCACTTAAAATGACACAGCAGATTCCCTCTGTCCTTAGAGCAAAGGCGCAGGTCCTTAACAGAGCCCTTCCCTTGCCTGCCAGTCTCAGCTGCTCCCTCTTCCCAGTTCCTCCCCAGCTACTGGGCCTCCTTCCTTCTGCTCACATTGCAGAGCATGTTCTGCCCCAGGATACTGGCTGGTGCTATCTTCTCCTATCCTCACACAGCCATGTCTTCAGCCCTTGGAAGCTGAACTCAATCATCACGGGTCTGAGGAGCCACTCAGCCCCCAGCGAGGTCTGGCCCTGCCTGGCACCTCCAAATTGCTGTAGTTCTCACCATGGCAACTTCACACCTGTGTGTGTGTGTGTGTGTGTGTGTGTGTGTGTTTGTGTGTGTGTGTGTATGTGTGTATAGGTGCCGGACAGACAGTGTCACAGAAGTTTCCAAGAAACGTTTGTTGAATGAATAAGTAAATAAGCACTTAAGAGACACCCCCTGGGAGGGTGATGCCTCTGCTGGTTTGGAGGAATCATTCATGGCTGGGGCTGTGCCCAGGCCACCCACAAGTGCAATCCGCTGGTTGTGCCTCTCAGGTCAGGGACATCTTGGGAAGGAGCACACCTGGGGTTGGGGCTGGAGGGCGGAGAATGGGTGGCCATGCGGTTGAATGCAAACCATATGGGTGGGGAGGTGACAGCGGGGGACATATCCAGCTGGCCCCTTAATCCACGTGCCCACTGCCGGGGCCCCCACCTGAATGCAGAAGGGGAGGCTGAGAGGGCAGTGGTTGGCATCAGGAGACTCGGGCCAGGTGCTGTTGCCGCCTCTGGTGGGCCACATCCCTGGTGGAGGGGACTGGATGGGAGCCCTCCCAGTGTCTGTGGGGCTCCAGCCTTCTCTCCTAGGCTGGAACCAGAGATATGTTCTTCAAACAGCTGGGAAGGTGAAGGCAGGAACCGGCAGCTTCACTTCTGTGTCTCAGACTCCTCTTCCAGGCAGGAAGGGGCAGGAAGAGAGGGCAGAGGCCTTTTTTCCACACCAAGCAGGAAATGCACGCAGTCAGCTGGTGGCAGGTGCCTGGCACAGCTGGCACATTCTTGGCTGTCTCTCTGCCTCCTGGGTGCTGGGTCTGCCCCGACAGCGTCCAGAATTGAAACCTGGCTGCAGCAGCCACCTGTGCCAGCTCCGGCTGTCCCTGCCTCTGGCAGGAGCCTGTGGGCAGCCGGGAAGATTGGCCTGGCACTGTCAACGCACTGCCTTCCGAAGCTGGGTCACCCTTTGATTCTGGAGGCCCTGTGCCAGGCCAGGATGGGGCTCCACAGGGGGATGGCGACTTTGTCTGGGCATGAACTGTGATTTATGTCACAGATGCTGTGAACCCTTTGCCTCAGTAATTCCGAGCTCTGCGGGTGTCTGTTTACATCTATTTAAAGCACGGCTGCTGCCATGGTCCAGGGCTCTGGGACACCCTGGAGCTTGGCGCTCACCTTGCTGTGGCCTGGAGTCCTGCATGCCGAGCGTGTATACTGGGCTCCACGGGGTCGCTGAGCCTGGGCATGCTGTTCCTTTTATGCCTGGCCTGGTGATCGTGACCCCTGTCTGGGGGACGCTCACAGGGGGCCTGAGCAGGGGAAGATGCTGTCTCCAGCTCTCCACAGCATTTTGTCTGGCTATCTGGGGCGCACCCTAAAGGTGCAGGGATGTCAGGGCACAGAGGTGAGACCTTGCGTGTCCAGAGCGTCCCTCAGGCAGGGCTGTGGTCGGGAGTCGCAGGAATCCCCTGCATTCGCTCAGCTCCCACTGCGGCTGCCTGTGCTAAGCGCAGGGCAGGTAGCCATCCACCTTTTCTGTGAATGAATCCAGGTAATCAGATTTCTCTGAGAAAGTCCAGTTTTGCCCTCAGGGGCGCAGATCTGATAGAGTTTCTCATCCCTGCCCTAACCCTGCCCACTATACCCCCACTCCCACGTGGCTCACACAGCACTGGGAACCCCAGAAGAGAGTGCCTTGTCCTGTGTCTCCAAGTCATGACTGAATTCCTACAGCCTTGGGGACAGTTCAGGACACAGATCCTGTTCCCAGAGGTGACCCCGGGAGAGGCCACCACCAAAGCTGAAACCTGAGCAAGGATCATACAGACCGAGCTAACAAAGCACCATTCCTAACCACTCCTGAAGCACACTGCCTGCTTTCTTTTTCTTTAGGAGGGGCTGACCCACCCATTGTGACCACCCCGCGAGGAGGCATGTACTTAGCTTTCTGTAGTCATGCAGTTTCCTGCAGTCTTCTTCTGGGGTTGAAGGGCTGCACCTCAGTTTAATGCAGACACGAAAAGGTTCCATGTTACAGGGCAGTGAACTAAGTAGCAGCAAATGTTGGGATGCAGATTACGAACAGAGAGGGCCTTGCTGGCATCATCCCTGCCCCGATCTGGAGTCTGCCACCCTGAAATGTTGGCAAAGCCTCACAGGAGAATTTTGTGAGGACGGGGCAAGAGAGCATCAGAGGAGCATTGCTGTGTTTGTAAGTGAGGAAACTTGGGGAGCTGAGCAGGTGAAGCTTCCACTTTTCACCCTCTGTGCGTAGACCCACGCTTAGCTCTGAACTCAGCTATGATGCCCAGTGAGCATTTGCGAGAAGCGTGGGGATCGCACTACTTCAAACCACCTGGAACGCTGTTCTTTCGGATAGTAGCTTTTCAGACGCTGTTCAAAACTTGCCAGGCCACCGGGCATGGTGTTGCACACCTGTAATCCCAGCACTCGGAGGCTGAGGCAGGAGGATCGCTGTGAGTTCGAGACCAGCCTGGGCTACATAGTGAGTTCCAGGTCAGTCTGAACTACATAGTGAGACCCTGTCTCAAAAAAAAAAAACCAAAACAAAACAAAACAAAAAAACCCAAAAACAACAACAACAAACAAACAACCCCAAAACTTACCAGGCCAAAATATGTCTTTTGCATGTGACTGGTGTGCTTTGGGTGACAGCAGTGATGCTTAAATCCACCAAAAGTTTACACCCAGTGGAATGATTTCTTTCACCAAAGTCTTTGGGGGTGGGGGAGACAATCTCTTCTCCCATCCAGTATTTAGGGGACTTTTGGAAACACACTCAGTCTTTTGGTTATTTTTTTCTGATATGCCGTCTTTGGTCATCATCATTATTATTTCAGAGTAAACCTGGCAGGTGGAAAAAGTGACAAGATGCTCAGAGTCAAGCCTGCAAGGGCAAAAACCAAGCATTCGGGGTGGAGATCTCCCCGAGGCAGTGACCTAGACAGGGGACAGTGTCAGCCAGGTGGAATGGGAGAGCTTGGGAAGGTGTGCAGAGCTTGCCCGCCTGCCCGCCCACCTGCCTCCCTCCCTCCTTGTCTTTTAGGTTTTTTTAGGTAGGGCTTTGCTAAGTAGTTCAGGCTGGTTTTGAACTCAGTACGTAGCCCAGGCTGGCCTCGAACTCCACCTCACAGCGATTCTCCTGCCTTGGCCTCCCAAGTGCTGGGTTATAAGTGAGTTACTACACCTGGTTGAAGTGCTATCATTTTTTTCTTATTGAGTTTATTGGTACCTTTTAGGTACATAGTACAGTTACATTCATCATTGGGATCTTGCCCCTTTACATGATGTATCTTGGTTCTCATTTTCCCCTATTCCCTGGCCCTCCCTTCTCCCCCTCCCCTATTTACAAAGACTTTGTTTCCATTTTTTCCTTTCCTCTTATTTTTCTTTTCCCTTATTTCCTTTCCCCTGCCCTTCCCACTTCCCCTACACCTTTAGCCCTTTTCTTCCTAATTCACATTGTCAGTTATGCAATTTGGATCTTATTTACACTTTTAGTTTTTCACATCAGAGAAACTATTCGGTATTTACACACGTCTTGTTTATTTCACTTAAGAGTATGGCCTCAGTGTACATCCATTTTCCTATGAATGACTCTAGTTTCTCATTCCTTTTTTGGTACTGGGGATCGAACTCGGGTCCTTGTGCTTGCAAGGCAGGCAGTGGCACCACTAAGCTAAATCCCCAGCTCCAGTTTCTCATTCTTTATGGCTGAGTAGTACTCCATTTTATAGAAAGACCACATCTTCTTCATCCAGTCTCCAGCTGATGCTTTGTTTCCAAGTTTCAGTGATTACAAATGGTGCCGCTTGAAGTGCTGTCATTAACAAAGTGGCTGAGAGGGTTGGGCATTTTCATGTCAGGTGGGGTGCCAGATGTAACAGTAGGCTTTCATTGTCCTGAAAATCACACCAGAACATGAGCTGACCAAATATTCAGGGGATCACTGAAAAGTGCCAGGTTCTGGTCGGCTTATGGTCATCCCAAACTCTTACTTTTTGGGTGACCCTAGCCAATAGGAGGTTCCTAAACTCCTGAACCTCAAAGCGGGGGTCCCCAAACCTGCAGTTCTGGCCTTACTGTGGAACTTGGTAGAAATGGCCCGCCTTACCTTGGGGAGCGCGTCAGGCCACGTGGTGTGGGAGCTGTGGTCTAGCAGTGCCTGCACTGTGCGCTGTGCCAGTGGCAGGAGGTGTGCCAGGCTGTGGTGTGTGTGGCCACAGGCCTTGTGCGCGTGTCCAGGGCCTCGCCAGACCAGGCAGTGCTGTGCCACCATGTGCAGGGTGCCCTGGCCCGCGACCTGGACTTGCTGCACTGAGGCGCCGCCATACTCCAGCAGCACCTGCCCGCACCTGTGGGGGGCCCAGGCAGGCACCGAGGTGGGTGCAGGCTGGGTTGCAAACCCGTGCCGTGCACCACACTCTGCACCCTGACTTACTGCCCCATGGCTGAGATTTGCGGGGTGTGTTATCCCATGACCTTGAGGTAAAGTGTGTGCTTTTGGGGCTCCGGTGCCAGGGACACAGGAGTTCAAACTGAGCTGGAAAGAAGATTACAGTGGAAGAACGCCCTGGGTTCCAGCTCACTGTTACTGGGTGGCAGAGAATGCCAGGGACGCCTCATAAGAATGCAGAGTTACTAGGCAGGATGGACTCGGAACTGCTTGGTGCTACTCGGGGAGGTAATGTGGGCCAAACAGTGCCGGGTGGGCTGGACACCGGGCTCTTTCCCACACCCAGAAGCTCTTGGCTGTCTCTCAGGGAGCCCAGCTTTTCTCAGGCAGCCCATGGTTCTTGAAATGGCGTGGCTTGGGGATTGTGCAAGGAGCTGGTCATGTCCCTGTGGGAGGAATCAATCCATCCCTCCTCCACAGACGCACACTAGGAACCCCAGGCAGCTCTAAAAACACTGGGGGACATAGACATCCCTCATTGGGGACCCCTTTGTTCCAACAAGACTCTCCCGGATCAGACTGGATCTTGGCGGGGCTCAAATCCTCCACCAGTCTTCTGGGGCTTCTAGGTCCCCGTAGTGGATCACTGTCTCCCGGTGGTGTGGGTGTCTTCTGCTGGTGCCAGTTTCACTGTCCCTGGCTCCAGGCACCAGCATCCCTCCCGGGACAGCAGCATCCCCAGCACCTCATCCAGCGCTCAGGGTGGCACTCCAGTGGGCAGCTCTGTGTGCTCCAGCCTGAGAGCGGAGCCGGTCACAGACCCTCCTCCAGGGCAGTGGCCCCGTCCTCCGTGGACACTTCCGCTACCTGCTTCTGGGTCACCGCCGAACAGTTTCAGCCCTGGGCTGCTCCAGGTTTGGCGTCTGACAACTCCTGCTGCTGACTTCAGGCCGCAGTCTGCAGCCCCTCTTGCTTGCTGCCACAACCGATCACTGCAGCTTTAGTGGCCCTGTGTCCTTGTCCCCGTGTCTCTCTTAGCCCACACTGGCTTCCCTTTCTTCCCGGCAGCACTGGATCACTCTTACTCTCAACAGTTTCCTCCCTTAGTTGCTACTGCCACTGTCCTGTGTGAGGCCGAATCATTTCTTGCTGGAATGTTACAAGTTTCCTGCTGCAACTGAGTGGAGCACGGCCAGATCTTCACCCCAGAGCCATCCTCTGCCTGTCCCCTGATTACCGAGGGAGGGAGCTGCGGTCCTGGATGCTGGCCTCTGTCTCAGATGGCCGTGGGGGCCTTCAGTTAATAACTGATTTTCACTGTCAAAGGCCCTCACTTTCCCCTTGTTGGAACAAAATACCTGATTCAAGCCTATAACGGAAACGAGGAGAGGTTTAACTGGCTCACAGTCTCAGTGGGCTCAGTCCATGGTCGGCTGGCTCCAAGGCGGAGCGCATGGTGGAGGGGCGTGGTGAGCATCCTTGCTCTTTGGTACAGTGCTGAGCCTGTGCTCTGTCCTGGTCCTGTTCCAAGTTCCCTCGCCTGCCTGTCTCCTGCAGATGAGTCTGCAGCACTACTGGAATCTATTCTATCCCCGTTGTTCTCTCATCTGCCCTGTATTTATGGAAGGGCCTCCTGCTCTGTCACCTGCCCCACACAGCCCCTCCTCAGCATCCCTGGGCCTTGTTCGCCAGTGACTCACCCTTTGCTTTTTCTTTGTCCTCCTGTCACCGCAAGCCCGTGGCAACTGTCCACTCAGCCTGGTGGTGCCATCTCTTTAATCCTCCCTTTCTCCTCTGCCACTGTCCCTGTCCTTTGTGAGGCCAGATCACTTCTGCTGCACTGTCACAAGCTGGCCAACTCCCCGTTTCCTGAAAAAGCCGGGCTAGCATGAATGGGTGCCTGCTTGTGACCCAGCAGTTCCTTCTGCACCACATAAAGCCCCTCCTTCCCAGGATGCAGCCCGGCATCTCAGCAGCTTCTCGCGAGGCCGCACCCTCGGGCCCAGGGGTGGCTCCTAGGACCGCCTTCCCATTGCCCACCCTGGAACTCTGTGTCTGGATGCTTTCTTCCTGGGACACCTACTACCTCCACAGCGCCACATCCCTCCTTTCCCTCAGAAGCCTTCCCAGTGCCAGTGGGCAGAGGGGCCACACTTGTGCATGTGCCTTGCCCACGTGTGCTGGCCTGACACTGGTCACACCGTTTCTCCCACGTTGTTGGCATCTTGCTGCCTTGCCCTGCTGGCGCCCCGAGGGTGGAGGTGGGGCTTCTTTCATCTCTGATTCTCAATGCCTGTGGTGAGTCCCCCCAAAAAGCACGGTGGACAAATGCAATTTGGTTTTTTTTTTTTTTTTTTTTTTGAGACAGGGTCTCACTATGTAGTTGAGACTGACCTGGAACTCATTATGTAGCCCAGGGTGGTCTCGAACTCACAGTGATCTCCTACCTCAGCCTCCCAAGTGCTGGGATTATAGGCATGTGCCACCATACCTGGCTTACAAATGCAATCTGTTAATTAACAATGCTTGGCTTTTCCTCTTGTTGCTGCTTTCCCCCATTATTTACTGAATGGGGGGCTCTGAACCAGATGCTCCACAAAGGGTTCCAGGGCTGATGGTGGCAGCCCTGAAACCCACTGTAGCTCCTCCTAGGACTTAAGTAGTTTTCGTGCCTCCTCTGTGTTTTTCTAGCCTCCACATCAGCAGCATCTTGAGAAGTGGTTTGTCTTGGGCAAAAGATCTTTATAGATAAGCAGAATATGATGTGAAAGGTCCTTTGGGACAATAACCAGCTAGAAGAGGATGCAAATTTTACAATCAGAGTGCTTCAGTCTGCTTCCTGCTCGCCTCTCTGGGAGGAATTTTGAACTTGCAGCAGGAGGTAAGAAATCAAGGGCTCTATCTCATTTTGCCACTGAGCCTCACAAACAATTACAAAACCTTTTCTTCTGTTATTTTTTAAAAAGCATCTCAGCCCCTGAAGATGTCTTCTTTTCCATGTTCTCAGCCCAACTGGCGAATGGCCAGGTTGCTATCTCAGAAGGGTGGGGACACCGCCCCCTCACCCGGCCAGAGGGCTGCTGCAGAGGCTCTGCTCATTTGTAATGAAGAACTTGTAATTGCCTAAACCTTCACACTTTCTTACAATGAGCAGTGGTTTACACTGTAGAATCAGAGGCACAGGGGGAAAAAAAGGACAAATTGACAAGAGCACGTCTGTGTCAGCACACACCGGGCAGTCATTAAAGGCGAGTCGGGAGAGCCTGTGTAACGGCATGGAAAGATCTCTGTGTGGTACGTGGGGCCATCAGGCTGCAAAACAGGACCGTGTGGTCTCAGAATAAGAAGCCATCTGCATGTGCGTGTGTGTGCCTGTGTGCCTCTGTGTGTGTGTGTGTGTGTGTGTGTGTGTGTGTGCATGCCCTGGCAGTGAGTGCTCATCTCCTCATGATGGGGTCATGGGCACTTTGACTTCCTTTTTACCTGCCTGCATTGGCAAATTTTCCAAAACAAGTCTGAGTAAGTTTGAAATGAGAACAGCAGATATTATTCATCACAAAGTATCGCTGCCAGCCCCAGAACTGCTCAGGATTCTAAGGGAGTTGGCCTAGCTCTCCAGGCTTCCAGAACATTCCAGATTTTTCCATGAATGGATTGGGGCATCAGCAGTGGCCCCCAGGCACAGGGCTGGCAATGCTGTGAGAGGAAGTGCAGGCCAAGGCAGGCTGGGTTCTCAGTGGCTAGCAGAGAAGCGGGCCCCCCTGGACCTCATCTGGGGCCCAGTCGTTCCTTAAACACATTGGTTCTTGCAGTGCTGTCTGTGCCCAGCTGAAGAAGACACAGCTGCCGGGGAAAGCAGGCCTGTGTGAGGAGCCCCAGGGGCTGAGTCCACACTGCCCCCTGGGGCTGGCGAGCAGGTGTCCTGGCACTTTCACGGACAGACAGCCCGTCGGGTACCAAGGATGCGCTGAGGCTGGCAGACTTGTCTCCACTCCACGGAGATGTGGGAGACGTGTGTGCTCGCAGAAGCCTCTGCTGGGAAGCAGCTTGGCCCACATAGCTCTGCCCCGTGTTTGACAATGGCTGTGGAGACAGCATTTACAGGAAAGACCCTGACCTAAAGGCAGGAGAGAGCAGGTGGGGCCTTCGAGGCCGTGGGGTCAGTGTTGTTTCAGTGCTTTCCTAAGAGGAGGCGACTCAGAGCCCCTGGCCACACTCTCGCCCCCCACCTCTCACAGTGACTCTGTGGTAGGAGGGATTTACACTGAGGGAAACTGAGGCCTGAAAGAACCCAGTTACCGCACAAGGCCACGCAGCCAGGAGCGGCCTGGACCGCCCACGTGGCTTCTGCGTTGGTCACACCTACCTGCTGCCTCCTCCCTTGGGGCACAGGTGCATGGCCCATAACCTCGCCGTGGCTACGGGGTATGATGGAGCCAGACAGTGGGTCTTTTCTGTTTGTTCTGTATACACACAGGGCGATCCCAGAAGTTACCACTAAGCTTTTCACTCCCGCATCCACCTGTTCATGCATTCTGCACAGAGCGTACACCCTGCATCTTCTGCAGGCCCAAGTGCTGGTCTCTCAGCACTGCCGAGAGTTTGGCACACATGGCCTCACTGGACACGGAATTCCTGCTACAGGCCAGGCATGGAAATCGCCTCTCACCAGTCCTCCCGGCAGGAATGCATGATGGATTCATGCTCTCCAGTGTTGGTGTGGATTCAGTTTCTTTTTTTCTTTTTTGGGTTTTTTGAGACAGGGTCTCTCTCTGCAGCTCTGGCTGGCCTTGAACTTACTATATAGCCCAGGCTGGCCTCCAGCTCACAGCGGTTCTCCTGCCTCAGCCTCCAGAGTGCTGAGATTACAGGTGTGCACCACCAGGCCCGCAGATTCAGTGGTTTGAGCAGTGGTCGAGAGGGTAGTGACCTAGGGTGTGATGGTGGCCTCACAGTGCTTCCAGCTTGGGATGTGAACTCCAGCCACCGCTGGATAGCATACTGACTACAACTAACTGCTGAAGAAGCCATACAACAGTGACGACAAGGCTAAGCTCTAGGTGAAAACTTCACTGGATTTTTTTTTTTCTTGGTGGGGGAAAAAGACATTGCTTATAAGCACCTCAAGAGAAATAAAGAGGCAGCGCTGGCTCTGGGGCTGCATTTCTGGGGCTGAGGTCCCTGCAGTCTGGACAGCTGGGCCTGTCCTGCTGTGTACAGGAGAGGTGTGCCATGCAGAGGATATTGCACCAAGCAGCAAGTCCTTGCAGGCTGAGGGCCTCAGGAGCTCATCCTACTGACTCACAGTCATAGCTCCTCTGGACATGCAAGCCGGTGGGCTGGAGACAATGCAGGGGAGGGGCCACAGGGCTGGGGACAGAGGTGACTGTCTGGATGGCATCTGTCAGCCTAGGGAGGGGCTTGGAGGAAGGCACAGCCGTTTCCTAACGAAGCCCTTGGAAGCTGGTTTCCTCTCATGGGTTGATTCCCCAGATGGTTCAGAATGAAGGACGGGGAAGCCACAGCCACAGACTTTGATGGAGGAGCGGTTCCACGTTATTTCCCTGGACCTTCTGTGCAGCTCTCCTTTGGGGACCGGCCATCCCCCTCTTTCTGTCTGGTATTTGCTTCTCTCTCCCTTTCTCCTGGAATCATAAGCTGTGAGACTGCCAAGAGAAATGTGTGCCGTGGGAATGGCTGATGTGGACGGACCTATCCTTCGGGATGGGGGATGCTGATAGAGAAGTGGATTGGCCACTTCCGGCATCCTGGGCTCCAGCCCCAGTGGCTACCATTTAATGTCTTCCTGACACGTTAGAAAGTCGTGGTGGAGGATGATATTTTGGGTAAATTATCCCCAGATTGCAAATGGAACCCTGCACCTTGGCCAACCAAAACATGATTTAGTGCTTGAGATTTCAGAAATGTGCCCTGCTGTTCCTCCCATGAGCCACCAAGCAGCAGCTGGCTTCTGGAAGCTTCAACAGCATCCCTTCAACAGGGACAGCAGCTTTTTTCCCTTTCTGTCCCCTTGGCCCAATACTCTGGTTGCAGAGAGAGACCCAGAGTGAGAGGGTGAGAAGGAGGAGGAAAAGGGCAGGTGGGCAGGGGAGCTTAGAATTGGATGAGAGCAAGGTTTTATGTATCTTCAAAATAAAGTAAAATTTATATACAGGGAAAGGCACAGGTCTTAAGAAGTATAGTTGAGTGGATTCTGACAAGGGAATTCCCTTGTGTAACCAACACATCAATCGAGATATAAAATATTTCCCTTCTGTTTGGCACTCTGTGAAAAATGGAAGTTATTTACAGGGACTCTTCCAGTGGAGAATGGAGGAAGAGGTTACAAGCAGAAGAAAAGAAAAACCAGCCAACCCCATCCCCGCAAACCTAATGTGAGATGTTATAATTTAAAAGACATTTGTGTTGCCACCAAGATCTAAACGAACGCCCTCCAGTTTGTCCCTGTGACACCCTGTGAGTGGTCATCAGCTTAATTTAGGATTCTCAAACCTGCAGTAGAGGAGGGTGTGGGAGAAGATCTACCCGCAGAGTGGGTCTAACAGCATCTGATAGTGGTTTCCTGTTGCTCTGGTGCCTGTGGCGTGGCCAGTAGTGACAACGCTGGGGGTTGCTGGTCCGTGTGGACCTGAGAGACAAGACCTGATCAGCAGACAGCTTTGCTGCATTGATGGCTGGTAGACTCCGTGGTGGTCTCCTAGGCTACGGGCGGGGCAGTCATGACCCGATCTTCCCAAGATGGCGGAGGAGAGAGGGCAAAACCACTCTGGCTGCAAGGCTGGTGTTGGGATGGAAGGCTTTCCTCAGCAGGATTTCCAGAAATTTGGCAAGGGTAGAAGGCAGTACGACAACCACTAGCTACTGAAGGCCAGGCTGAAATGGAGTCAGGAGACCCTGGCAGATGACAGAGGTGACTGAGAGGGGAGAACCCTGAAATCACCACTGCTCTGGTTTCTCTCTCCTTCATGGAACAATTCTGTCCTTTTTAGAATTTTTTGATTTTTATATTTGGCTTCTCTTGCCAAACATAATGTTTCTGCCACATGTCCTACTGCTGCAGGCTCAGAGAAAGTCATTTCTTTTTATTGCTGAGTCAAATTCTATTGTATAGACAGCCCTCACCTTTTAATCCATTTTCCTGTTGATAATGATGGGCATTTGGTGATTTACTTTTTCACTATTAGAATAGATCAGGAAATAGGGACATTTTTGTATAGCTCTTTTTGTGGACCTTCATTCTCATTTTTCTCAGGTAAATACTTAGAAGTGGACTGCAGGTAGTTACCTGTTTATAAGAAACTGCCCAAATGTTTCCCAAGTAGATGATATCATTTACACACCTGGCAAAATGTGTGAGAGATCTGTTTGTCCCATGTTCTTGCTGGTAATTAGTGTCAGGTTTTTATAGTTTATTTATTTATTTTGAGGCAGGGTCTCGCTTTGTAGTTCAGGCTGGCACTGAACTATGTAACCCAGGCTAGCCTTGAACTCACTGCGATCCTCCTGCCTCAGCCTCCTGAATGCTGGGATTACAGGTGTGTGCCACCATGCCTAGCTCTTCCACTGCGGTCTGACTTGGGTTTTCCTGATGAGTGATGATGCTGAGCACCCTCTCATTGGCTTCTTGGCCCTCTGTGTCTCCCAATGACTAGTGCAAGCTTTTGTCTGGAGGGAAAAGCTCTGATGTGGCCCAGACTGGCTTTAAAGTGAGCAGAGCACTGAGGACTTGGCCTGGGACGCTCTCAAGGGGCAGGGAGGGCCTGACCCTGCGCTGAAATGCATGTGAAAGTTCATGCTGAGTGGTAAGTGGAGCTGCTTGTTGTTGGTTTTGTTTTGTTTTGTTTGGGGTTTTTTTTTGGTACAAAGGACCAAACTTGGGACTTTGTGCTTGCCAGGCAGGGAGGTAGGTGGCAGCTTTTGGGAAAAAAAAAAAAAAAAAAAAAAAAAAAAAAAAAAAAAAAAAAGGCCCACAGGGCAGAGGTGACCTTTCTGCCTGCTCTCTCCATGGCCTTGGGCTGTGTGCCATCTTCTGGGCAGGGCACTGCCCTCCCTGAACCTCAGTTTTTCAGTCTGTCAATGGCGATGAGCTGGTTGTACGGCCTGGGAAGACTGTGGCAGATAAGACACAGGTGCTCAGGAACGGACGCAAAGCTCTCAGTTCTGAGTCCTGCAGCTGAGTTGCCCCACTGTGGCAGTTTTTTCTCAGTGTTCTTCGGCGCTCTGAACTCCTGCGGAAGAAGACTGAGTCTTCCTGCTTCTCACTTATTTCCTAGGTCAGTGCTGTGAGCCGGGCCTCTCTGGCAAGGAAACCTTTCCCTGCTTGGTGGGCGGAGGCGCATGGGGCTGGGGTGAGGCAATGGAACAGTACCCCTGCTCAAATACTGACCGGAGAGCAGCACCCCCTTTTTTGCCTCAGAGAAAGTAACACAGCCAGATTCTCCACATCCAGGGTTCTGCGCCCACGGATTCCACCAACTGTGAATTAGGATGTTCAAAACCGCAGCACCTGAATGGAACAAGGGCCAGCTTCTTCCCTCGTCCTTCCCCAAACAAGGTGGTAAAAAAACTGCACGCATTTACATCACAGTAGGAGCCATCAGTAATCCAGAGGGGTGTGTGAGAAGGTGTGGTCGGCTACGTGTGGACACCACCCCGCTTTATGGAACGGACTACACAATACACGCACTACAGATGGGTGCCCGGGGACCTCAGAACCAACCGCTGTGGACACCAGGAGACAGCTGTGCCTCATTTGTCTCTGCCTGGATTTCAGTCTGTTGGGGGTCAGAGCTAGAAAAGAATCGGCTGCTAATTTTCTTCCGTGATGTTTACTTTCCCCTAAGGTATCACAGCCCTGCCGCTGCGAATTAGTTTCCATTTCGTTGAAGTCCCACGACTGGACAGGAAAGCCACTGCCTCCTCTGAATATGCCCAAGAGGGACGCAAGTCGTCCTGACTTTTGTTTAAATCAAGACAGCTACAGACAAGCAAAAAGAATCGGGGCTCAACAGATTCTTTTCTCATTTTAATTATGTCAGAATGAAAAAAAAAAGGTCAAGGAGAGGATTTTTGATAATAAATAGGGCGAGGCTGGCGTGCAGGCTACTAACGTGAACAGAGTAACTTTACTGAACTTTTCTTTTTGAGAAATCTCTTCAAAAGCTCCTAGATTAAAGCTGTGATAGGCCTTTTTGTGTGTTGAATCCTGAATTTTGAAGCTTGCTGGTTGGAAGGAAGCACAGATAATTTTTTTTTTTTAATCCCAGGAACTCAGAGACTCAAAGATTTAAAAGTCCTGTGCCCACGGAGAATTGCCGACTGAAGGGGACGGAGCGGACCGGGTCCCTTAGGTGTGGAGACCATTGTCATCAGAGTGTGAAAATGAAATGACTCTGTATGTAGGTCACTGACCCCCTTCTCTACTGTGAGGTAAAAAAAATTAAGGATGACCTAAAATCTACTATGTATAAAAAGATCCCAGAGAAAGTAGCTCTTTCTTATCAAAGTGATAATGTTTATGCTCCCCGAAGCCAGACCTCCTCAGTCTAACTTTAGGGGACTCTTTAGAGCTGAAAAGCCCAGTGGAACCCTCAAGTCCTCTCTGACATCTATTAACTTTTCATGCTTCAAGGCAGTCGGCTGTGTTATTGTGCAGGTGTTCAATGGAAGCCACGGGCTTTCTCCATTATAATCACTGATATGCGAGGGGTTCTAAGTCACCTGTCTCGCAATTCTACCTGTTCTCCTGGTTTATTCATCACTTGACTTAAACTTTTCCACAATCGCCAGGGTTCAAATGAGTCAAGATTCCCAAATGAAACAAAGGGCAAGCTTCAGAGGAACACAAAAAGGCAATGAGACAAAAGGAAGAAAGAGGAGGGGCCGGAGGAAGACAGATGATGAGGGATTAAAAAAATCCCACTTGAATACGAAGGCACTTTCAAAGTCCCTATTAAACAATATCCTAGGCCTGTATGAGTTCCGAAGACCTAGAAATTCAGTTTCTCTAATGCTCTTAGTTCTAGTGGCCTGCCATGGCCTCAGCTCCTTGTGTGCCCAGAGAAGAGCTTGATGGATTATTTTAAGCTATGTGGTAAGGATTCACAGTACTCTGTGTTTGTTTTGCACCCTGAGTAGGCGCTACATTCTCATTCTTTACTCATAAGCAATATCTTTCTAATAAAATAAAAGTCTTTCCAACTGAAATGTTATTTCTGATTTATAGAAGAGGTGTGAAGCCAGTACTGAATTTCCTAGATATGCTTTATTTATTTATTTATTATTATTATTGGTACCGGGGATCGAACTCGGGTCCTTGCACTTGCGAGGCAGGCGGCGGAACCACTGAGCTAAATCTTGGGCCCTTCAGAATTTCTGAATACCCTTTATCCAGCTTCCCCTCAAATCAATGTCTTATGTGGTTATGATCCACTTGTCAAAGTTAAGAAATTGACACTGGTGCCGTACAGTGAGCTAAACTGCTGGTGTTATTTGGATTTTAGCAGTTCTCCTAATGCCCACGCTCGGTTCCAGGGCCACTCCAGGATACCATGTTGCCTTCACCTTTGGTGTGTGGGGGTGGTATATACTTAGATGTGGGATGTCATCAAACAGGCTATATTTTCTGCAGGAACATGCTACAATCACCAGTTATATTCTGTTCTTTTTTTTGGGGGGGGGTTTGAGACAGGGTCTCACTATGTAGTTGAGACTGACCTGGAACTCACTATGTAGTCCAGGATGGTCTCGAACTCACAGCGATCCTCCTACCTCAGCCTCCTGAGTGCTGGGACTACAGGCATGCGCCACCACACCCGGCTACCAGTTTTGTTCTTGACTAAGGACATTATATAAAATAAATAATAAATATCCAACAAATATGGAGGTACAGGAAAGAGACAAGGTCTATGATTAATTTTAAGTAGCGCAATACTGTTTCAGACTCCAAGAATAAATACAGTGATTGCACACAAGATTTCGGGAATCCTAGTCGACACCCACATAATTTTATCTTATGCCAAGTGCTTTTTTGCTGAGCACTTTACCTGTAATGATTTCTTTAATCCTCAAACATCCTATCAGGTTGGCACCATTATTACTACTATTTTACAAAGAGAACACTGAGATGCAGACAAACTAAGCAGTTGTCCACAGCGGCACAGCTAGCAAGCGCTAGCTCAAATGTGGTTTGAAGGATGGTTTCCTTCAAAAGTGATAAAACAGGCTCTTGTGAGCGCTGCATTACATGATACAAAACCATGCTCAGAATGGGACGTGACCAGTATTCAACTAACTAATAATTTTGCCCGCTGTCTTAGGACATTCAGAGACCTTTGTAATTTATTTGAGTGACTTGTGCCCTTTAATAAAGTGGATGACACTGTCTGTCTTTGACATTTCCAGTAGAAATCCACCAGCCTACACCTTTGCTCATGGGGCACATGTATATTCTGCAGATCCGTGGCCCTGTGAGTGGTGCTCTGCTGTGTGGTGACATTCCTCTCTCCTGAAACTGCAAGTATTTGAGGGCAGAGGCAAGGTCTGGTGTAGCACAACCCATGCAAAAGTGCAAATGCAACTGAGCGAGGAAAGGATCTTTGACAAACATCACTGGAATAACTGTCATCCTCCTGCAACAATACAAATAACAATGATGACAAACCAAAAGGCCTTGAATTGAAAGAAATCCAAATGCTTTGACCACATCTGGGGGCTAAGTGGTCGGTGTTCACTGTGGCCATGCTGAGGGGTCAGAAGGCTCTGGTTTGAATACTTGTATCCCTCCATAATTTACATTGAAACTCAGTACTCAGTGAGATAGTGTTAAGAGTGTTTGTATGTGTGTGTGAGAGAGAGAAAGAGAGAGAAAGAGAGAGAGAGAGAGAGAGAGAGAGACAGAGAGAGAGTGTCTAGGAAGTAAGTAGGCCATAGTAGGCCACAGGGTTCTTCCCTCAGAGACTGAAATGGTATCCTTATAAAACATCTTGAGGAACTGACAATGTGAAATAGGAAGAAGAGGGCTAAAAGTGCAGGGGAAGTGGGGGAAGGGTAGGGGAAAGGAAATAAGGGAAAAGAAAAAAATTATGAGAAAATGAAAAAATGGGAATAAAGTATCTGTAAATAGGGAAGGGAGGAGTGGGTGAAGGGAGGGCAGGAGAATGGGGAAAAATGAGAACCAAGACCTGTCATGTAAAGGTACAAGATCCCAATGATGAACGTAACTGTACTGTATACCTAAAATGTACCAATAAACTCAATGAGGAAAAAAAAACATCTTGAGGGAATAGGTCCATCCCATCTGTCACCTCCTCTCCATGTGAAGAGGCAGCAATAAGGTGCCATTTTGGAAGCAGAGAACAAGCCCCCAACCAGACACTGTACCTGCTGGTGCCTTGACCTTGGACATCTCAGCCTCTGGAATTGTGAGAAATAAATTTCTATTACTTATACATTACCCATAAAAAAGTTGTTTGATAGCAGCCAGAATAACAGACCAAGACAGCAAGGAACTGATGACCCTCTTCAACCAGTATGCAGCAAGAAACTGAGTCCTCGAGGAACTGAATTCTGCCAATAACCATATGAACTTGGCAGGAGACTCTTGCCCAGTGGCCTTTCAGATGATACCCTAGGCTTTGTTATCAGCTGAAACACAGTCTTGCAAGAAAAACTCTTGACTCACAGAAACTGTGAGATAATAAATATGTGTTGTCTTTCGGTCTTGTTTTGTGTGTGTTGAGACAGTCTCACTATGTAGTTCAAGCTGGCCTTGAACTCACTATGTAGCTCAGCCTGGCCTTGAACTTGTGGTGATCCTGCCTCAGTCTTCTGAGGGCTGAGATTACAGGCACATGGCACCATGCCTGGCATTATGTGTTGTTTTAGCTTTCTCCATTTTTGCAAATTTGTTACACAGCAATAGGTAACTAATGCATTGGAAAAAAATATACCACTAATCCCAATCCAAAGAAATCTATGCTAGCATCACACTAGTTCTTTCAGTATCAAAATAGATTTTTAGACTAAAGAATATTTTCAGAGACAAAGAATACCATTTCACAATGATAGAGGTCAGTTCTTCCAGAGGACATAACAATGCCAAACATTCATGTACCTAATAACAAAGCTTCAAAATATTGGAGGCAAAACCACAAAGATAAATAACCACAAAGTTCATAAAACCACAAAGGGAAATAGGCAAACACACAATTACAATCAGAGAGCTTACTATTCTTTTTTTCATTAATTTGTGAAATAAGAATGAATAAAGTCATGCAGGATATAGAAGTCATAAACAATACCACTAGGAATCTTGGTTCAGTTGACTTTCATAAAGCCCCCCATCCAACAGTTGTAGAATGGACATTCTTTTCTAGTGAATATGGAGCATTTCCCATGGCAGAACATATTTTGGATCACAAAATATCTCAATAAGTTTATAAGGGATAAAGCGATAGTAAGTTCTCTAAACATAATGATTAAATTACAAATATATATATATAAATAAAGATGTCTGGGCTGGGTGTGGTGGCACATTACCTGTAATCCCACTCTGAGAGGCTGACATCGAAGCAGGAGGACTGCAAGTTCTAGCCCAGCCTGTGCACTTAGTGACTTAGAGAGACTCTGCTTCAAAATTAAAAAATAAAAAGGGCTGAGGACAGAGCTCCATGCAAGAATCCTGGGTCTAATCCCAGTACCCCACACCACCTCAAAAATGTCTGTAAAGAAATCCAAAAGATACACTATCTGGAAAATCTCCAAATATTTGGAAACCAAATAACATATTTTGTTTGTCTGTTTGTTTTTGGTACCAGGGATCAAACTTGGGTCCTTGTGCTTTCGAGGCAGGTGGCAGAACCACTGAGCTAAAACCCCTGCCCCCAAATAACATATTTTAATCCACGATTGAAAGAAATATTCAAAAGAGAAATTCAGAAGTATTTCAAGCTGATTGAAAATAAAATCACAACAGATGTATATTTGTGGGATTTAACTAAAGTAGTATACAAGGGACATACTTAGCCCTAAAAGCCTGTATTCAAAAGTAAGAAAATCCTCAAATCAGTAACAATGGCTTCCACTCTAAGAAATTAGAAAAAGATGAGAAAATGAAACTGATTGTAAACAAAGAAAGGAAAATAATAGAGACCACAATAGAAATCAGTGAAACAGAAGACAGGAAAACAAAAAAGAAAAAACCATGAATCTAAAAGCAAGCCTGGGGGCCAAGTTCCAATATTATGAACCAGAAAGGTGACAGTACTACAGACTCTACAGCTATTCAAAGGATGACAATGGTAGACTCTGTGACAATAAATTTGACAACTTAGCTGAAAGAAATACAGATACAGATATGAAATCTCACTCAGAAAGAAACAATCTGAGGGTCTCTGTATCTAGTAAAGAAATAGAATTTGTAGTTAAAAACAACTCACAAATTAAATTCTACACCCAGGCAGCTTCCAAACATTTAGGAACAGTTTAAGGTCTTCTAGAAAATAGAATATGAGGGAACATTTTTCAAATCATTATCAAGGTCAGTATTACTCTGATACCAAAACCAGAGAAAAATGAATCAAAAGAAAATATAGACCAATATATGTCATGAGAATAAATACAGATATTTTTAAAAAAATCACAGGAAACCAAACACAACATTATATAAAGAAGATACTTCATGACTAAGTGTCATTTATCCCAGAAATGCAAAGTTGGTTTGACATTTTAAAAGTCAATCTGTGTAAGTCATTCTATTAGAACACCTCTCAAACACATTATACCATCATCTCTGTATTTGTAGAAAAAGCATTTAAGAGAAATAGCTGTTCATAATACACCTGTCAACAAAGTAGGGCTATAGAGGAGCTCTCTGCCTTGGAGAAAGGGAATCTGCAAATTGGCTACATCTGATTTCATGCTTAATGGTGAAAGTCTCAATGCTTCCTTCCTCCAAGGTCAGGGATAAAGAAAATGGTCTGCTCTGAGCATTTCTATTCAGCATTGCATTGTAGGTAGTAGTGCAGTGGGGCAGGAAAAAGTGAAAAGGGGCACACCCAGAGTGCAGCAGAAATAGGACTGGTTTTATTTTCAGATGCCCTGATTGCCTACATAGAACTCCTATTGCTTTTATGAAAAGCTACTAGAATGATTCATGAATTAGCAAGGTTGCAGGACAAAGATTAATACATAATAAGTACCAATTTTATGTGGTACATACACAGCATCAGAAATTGAAATGTAAACAATACTATTTACAATGGCATAAACATAAAATGATTAGAGATGAATCTTACAAAATATGGGCAAACTCTGAGCACCAAAAGCTATAGAAAATAACTGAGAGAAATGAAAGAGGGCCTGAATAAATGGACTAGTAGAAATTATTCATGGGTTGGAAGTCTTAGTTTTTTTTGTTTTGTTTTGTTTTTTGAGACAAGGTCTTGTTATGTAGCCCAGGCTGGTCTTGAACTTGTGGCAGTCCTCCTGCCTCAGCCTCCAAAGTGCTGGGATTACAGGTGTGCACCACCGTGCCTGGCTCAAGTCTCAGTATTTTTACAATGTCAGTTCCCAAACTGACTTGCAGATTCATGGCAACCCTGAAATGCAGCAGGCTGTTTTATAGAAATGCAAATGGAAACACACATGAGCTAGAATAGCCAAAACAATTCTGAAAATAAGAACAGTGCTCGAGTACTTTCACTGCCCGACATCAGGATTTGTTATAAAGAATCTAAGACAACATGGTGTCAGCATGGAAACCCACTGACGGGGATGGCTCTCCCACACCACTCTGCCACTGTGCATGCATCCACAGCCCTGTGGGACCTGCGCCTTGGCCGAGCATCCGGTTTCCTCCCAGAAGCAGGTGCTGCCACACAGCTTCTGCCCACTTGGCTCTCTGACAGCTTCCAGTCACCTGGGGTTCCGAGGGGCTCCCTGCCTCACCCCCTTCAATACCGCTGGGGCCATGGACTACTCCGCGGAAGCCTAGATTTAGATGCCCAGTAGTGGGGTGGCTTCCATTTGCCTTGCCACCTCCAGCCTCTCTTATTTGGCTGGCATCCTTGGCATGTGGACAAGGGCCGCAGGGAGCTGGACCTCTGTCTATTCTTCTTTTCAGTGTTTAGGTAAGGAAGTGTCACTCTGTCTTTACCAGCTGAATTGGTAAGACCTTGTTTCGTCTTTATGGGTACTTGATAAGAGTCCTGAAATAAACCCACATGTGTGACATGCTGGAGAGTAAACCCAGAGCATTCACACTGAGCTACATCTCCGGTCTGTTAAAAATTTATTTTTAAAATTTTGAGACAGGGTCTCACTAAGTTGCCCAGGCTGGGCCGTGATCCTCCTGCCTCAGCCTCCCATAGGCTTTTTTGACAAAGTCAACTGTGTGACAAAAGGAAAGGATTTTTGACAAACACTGCTGGAATAGCTATAATCCATCAGCAACAACAACAAACACAACAACACCACCAAAAACCCAAATACTTTGATCTATATGCTATACCATATCATAGAAAGTAACTAAAACTGGACCATAGAATTTGTTTTGGACCGTCCCAGTCCTGCTATATGAGGACCAGCCCATGGCCCTGTGATATCAAAGAGAGGCAGATGGATCTCGGACTGAGGACTTCACTGATGCAAGCCTGGTCCTGCTGGCAGCAGGGCCAGTTGCACCCTTGAGATTTGGGTCAGAGAGGGTTGTTTTTTGTTTTTTTTTTTTGGGGGGGTTGAGTCAGGGTCTTACTATGTATAGTTGAGACTGACTCAGAACTCACTATGTAGCCCAGGCTGGTCTCAAACTCACAGCAATCCTCCTGCCTCCCGAGTGCTGGGATTGCAGGCATAAGCCACCATGCCTAGCAGAAAGGGCTATTTTTACAGGCGAGGACAAACATGGCTTTATCCTAGCTGGAGTGTATCAGGCTTATCATAGCCTCAGCAGAGTCAGACACAGCTCTGGAGCTGGGCCAGTTGCAGGGCTACACGAACCACTGCAGTGATTATGTATATTTGCAGTTTGTAAGAAACCAGAAGGAAAACCTGGGCAGGGTTATTCTGGGGCAGCCTGGCAGCAATGACCTGGCTGGCCGAATCCATACGGACTTACATGTAAAAACCTAACACTATAAGCTTGGGATGTGCAGAGTTTGTTGATATGAGAACCCAACACAATGTGTAATGGAAAAAAGAAGCCTCGATAAATTGGACTCCATCAAAAGAAAGAACTTCTGTTCTTTAACACTTTTAAGAGAAGAAAATATAAGCCAGAAGTTGGGAGGTAATAGTTGCTAGTCACATAGATGACAAGGCACTTGTACCTAGAACATACAAAGAAATCTCAAAATTTAATAAAAAACCCAACTTTTAAAAGATCTGAACAGACACTTCCAGGAAGATGTGCCGATGACAAAGGAATGCAGGGAAAGATGCTGTCATCACAGAAGTGCAGATCGAAGTTACACGACAAGCTAGTTCTACACACCTGTTAGAATGTCTGCAATTAAAAGTTGGGGATGTGAACCAAGGAGAACAATGGAGCATGGGTGGTGGGAATGCAAAACGGTACAACTTTGGCAGGTCCTTAGAAGCTTCTCTTATCATCTGTCATATGATCTAGCCATCCCAAATCTTAGGTATTTATTTATCCTCAAGAAATAAAAGCATTGCTCAAAGTGCTACAGCATTTACAGCACTTTTAGCTGTAATAGCCCCAAACTGGACTAGAAAAGAATCAGATGTTGTCTACCTGGGTTGGTATACTGCAGTATGTCCACACCATGGAATATTACTCACCAATAAAAAAGGATAAAATGTAGCTACAATGGCACAGCCCAATCTCAGAATAATTATACTGGGTGAAAGAAGCAGACAAAAGAGAGTACAGGGGCTGGGGATGGAGCTCAGCACTAGTTAGCATGTCCCAGACTCTGAGTTCCATCCTCAGCAGGTGGAAGGGTTCATTCCACTGCCATAAAATTGTAGAAATTGGTGAAAAATGGTGTGTCTAACCAGGTGCAGCTTGTAACCCTATGCCATTCACACCTCAGTAAAGCTCTTTCAAAACAATATTGCCAAGCCTTACTCCTCCACCTGCCCCCCCCCGCCCTTTTCGAGCCTGGTGGGGGTCTGCGTGCCCTTGGGTCCCCACTGAGCTGGTAGGGGGCGCACTTTGGGGTGGCAGCCCTGCCCGCTGTCCTTGCCTTGGGGTCAGGGCAATTGCTGGGGGTAAAAGAAGGGGAGAGGCCCACTGTGCTCTATTTAGAAATGGAATCCTTAGGGAAAGGAGGCGGGGCGGTTACACCCTAAGGCGGGACAGGAGGAGAGGTCCGAGTGGAGGAAGGGAGAAGCCC